TATCTAAGTGATAAGTAATGATTGTTGGTGTAAATGTGTGTGAATTGCAAATTACTTTTTGAATAATTTAAATAAAACAAAACAAATTAACAACTTACTTGTAATGACAAACACAAACGCAAAAAAATTGAGGAAGAATAATCAATCGAAGCTAAATCAACGTTTCATAAACCTAATTCCAAAATAATTGAAATTGGCTATTCATTAAGGATTTACCTGATTGAAGATATCACATTGTTCGAGAAACCCTAGATGTTGTCGCAGTAAAAGATCGTCAACAAGGGCGTAACACATATAGAGTCGAATATGGAATGAGTTAAAATTTTGTGATTGCAATATTTAACTACGGTTCTTGAGTTAAATACTTGAATACTATTTTGAAGCATGCATGGTAAAAAGTCAAATCAGATTGCAGACTATTTTTGCCTTTGCTTTTATCGTAATTTAGTTTTGATAGAGGACACGTTTAATAAGCGTAATTCTTACATTTATCTCAACTTTTAAGTGAGGAATTTTTGTGTAGTATATCAGGTGTTTGGGAGACGATTGTTAATTATTTTAGTTCATTTCTGTGATTGAAGGACAAAATTTCCGAACTTGAGTATATTGGTTTAATAGGCAAAAAATGAGAAATTAAAATTTTGAAATGAAGATCAATATCTAAGCATTGGAGGACGAGAAAGAAAGGATATCGAGAAGAAACAATATAGTATTAAGTAATAATGAAGAGTAGAAGTGAAGGGTTAAACACCCGAAAGTAACAAATAAAATGTCATAAGCGTGGAGCATTTGAGGAAAATAGAGTACTGAGTTTGATATAAAGACCTAGAGCATATGATATACTATTGTAAAGTTCATCGAATTAAAAACGTAACAAATTTCACATATCTGAATTCGAAATTATGTAAAAAAAAAAGTGAAAAATACTAGATGTACATTGGGGTGTACATAAGGGGGTCCATCACGACACTCCCTCCAACAGGGGGCGCCGAGTGTCCATAAGATGAACACGAGTGAATTGTTTCAATAATCACTGAACTTATACATTGGTCACGAACTGCTCACCGAACGTCATTGTGCTTCGGAGTACTCACTCAACTTTGCCATTTACCTCTCCATCCATCACCTTCAAAAAATCCATCCATTGGGCGTTGACGTGGCAGACGGAAATCCTAAGTGGAGATTAACGGCGTTAACTAGGTGCCAAATCAAACAAATATTATACATGTGGATTTTTTCTAACATATTTTACAAAATATAAAAAAAAACAAAAAAAAAAGGAAAAATCGAAAATAACCGGGATAACCTTATCTCTGTCACCGCCGACTTCCACCTCCAAAAAACCAACATCCTGCCCCCTACGCCGCCGAGCATCACCACCACCGGCATCGGCGTCACCTGCCCAACAAATTCCAGACCACCATCCCAACCTCACGCCGGACCCAAATGCACCGCATAGCCACAAAATCTGCCAGTTCGCAGCCAAAAAACTTGGCCACAACCACCCTTTCGATCACAGCCATCACGCCCAACACATATTGGCATCTTCTACATACCAAGGCTCATCCAACCATGGTTTCTTTTAATCAAATAGTGCAGCAATTCAAAATTTTCAGCCCCAAATTTCATACTTATAGGTCGGTGAATCCGCCTCCATTTGACGGGCAAAGTGATGTTATTGCTACAAATTGGACCCAGTAGAACCTTCAGCAGGTCAATACTATATTGGTTAACTCCTAAATTGAATCGATTGATACATTACTCGCTCCAATTTTTCGAATCAAAATCTGCCCACTTTTTAGCCATTTATGAAATGTGCCCCATTTTTTCTTATGTTAAATTACGAATTTGCTGCCAATTGGTAGTGGATATGGGCGTCGGCAATGTGGTTTAGCTAGTGGTGGTGAGTGTGGTTGATTTTGAGAGGGGAGATAGGAGAGGGAAGGTCCTGCTGTTGGAAATGGTGGTCGACGGTGTCTGCTGTTTTCATTTTTTTTAGGGCAAAATCGTGTTTGAGAGACACGATTTTGCTGAGTGGGCAAAAGAGGCCAGAATTGAACAATCGTTAATCGCCAACTAGGATTTTCGTCCACCACGTCAGCGCCCAATGGATGGATTTTTTGATGGTAATGGATGGAGAGGTAAAGGGCAAAGTTAAGTGAGTACTCCGAAGCACAATGAAGTTCGGTGAGCAGTCTGTGACCAATGTATAAGTTCAGTGATTATTGAAACAATTCACTCAGATGAACACCCTAATGTACAAGAAGTACCACCTGAAAAAATTTATGCACGTTCTCGTTGTAGTAGCTTGGCTGAGACATAATCAGTCAAATGGTATATTTCGTTGGTTGAGCAAGACCCCTATTTTTAGCACCCATTGTTCTAATTATCGAAGGATTCTTGGGATCTTCTACGCACTTTAAATATGATTTTACACCTTAATTTATTCTATATACTAAAACCCACCATCAATTTCATGGGATAGCTTGGAGGAGATCAAATTTACACCTAGAGTAAGAAGAAAAAGAATTGGGAATTATGAATTCAATCATGCTTGGTGTACAATGTTATTAACAAGGGTAATTAGCATATAACGTGATTACATTTCACTATTATTATGAAAAATATCCTTACTCTTTGTTTTTGTTTTTTTGGCATTTTCACCCATATTTGCGCATTTCATTGCGCAAAAGATCATTTTCATTCATTTTATTAATTAAAAGCTGTGAAATGATAAATATACCATTTTGCTTAAATAAATCAAAAAGAAAAGGAAAGAAATAATTGCAATCATAGTCCCCATGTTAAAAAATTGCAAACAAACCTCAAATAAATTATTGTAAGGGAAATTCACACATAATGAATTATCACATGGCTGCTAAAGCAAGTTAAGCTTCACACGCCATGAGGAAGCCAAAAGACCCTCTCACGTCTGAAGGTTTCGTAACACGTTGGAGAGCTTTCAAATGTATCTATATCTTTCACTATTATTGTGAAAAACGTATATACCTTTCATTTTTTGACATTTTCACCCTTAATTACACATGTGATTATGCAAACCACTATTTCTATTCATTTCATCCAATTTCTCAATAAAAAAACTATGAAATGACAAATATACCATCATGTTTAAACAAAAATAAAGAACTAATTAAACGCATATTCCCATTTATTTTAAAAAGTGCAAACGAGTTTCAAATAAATTATTAAAAATATATATAATTTTTTTAAAGTACAAATGAGTCCCAAATAAATTATGAAAAATTAAAAAATTTCAAACGAGTCCCCGAATAAATTATTAAAAAATTAAAAACTAATTTTAAAAAAAGAAAACTAGTCCGAAATAAATTATTAAAAAATTAAAAAAGAATTCTTTATTTTTATTTTTTAATATTTAAATATGAGTGTATATTCATCATTTCACAGTTTTTTATTAAGAAATTAGATGAAAATTGATACAAATTATAGTTTGTGCAATCATATGTGTAATTAAGGGTGAAAATGATTTTAAAAAAATGAAATGTATGAACGTTTTCACAATAATAGTGAAATGTAGGGGACATTATGTGCTAATTACTATCTTAATAATTTATTTGGGATTCGTTTACACTTTTTTTAAAAAAAGAAATGGGATTATGGTTGCAATTAATTTATTTTATTTTATTTAAACAGAAGAGTATATTCGTCATTTCACATCTTTTAATTGAGAAAGTGAATGAAAATGACATTTTACACAATAAATGTGGATATAAGGGTGAAAATGTAAAAAAAATTAAAAGTATGGACGTTTTCACAATAACAGTGAAAGGTAACGACGTTATGTGCTACTTGCTCTTTTAACAACATTGAATGACAACATTCCACGTTGCATGTTGTTTGGCATGTTCTTATTGGACAATTTTAAAAGCAATTTATTTTTTCAACCAATATTTTTTTTCCCATATACAACATAGACAACAATGTTGTCAAAATACGTTGTACATACAACATTTTCCTTATAAATTTCATGCTTGATGATTCTACAACATTCTCTTTTCTCTATCCAAGTGATGCCAAGTTGAACTCTTATTTGTTTGAATACTTCGAATGTGTATGTTGAAAAAATATGTGTCATATTTTTACAAGTTTTATTTATTGGCTTACTTAATATTCGTGTTAGTTTTTAATTGTCAAATCTTGGAAGATCAATTGAAGAAATCGTGAAAAATGTGAATAGGTTTTGGTCGACGATTACCAATAATTATTTGATCGCTAATGATCGACAAAGAAGTAATTGATGTTATTCTCATACAAATATATATATGGGTAATTAGCGCAAAACGTCCCTACTATAACAGGTTCTGTGGAAAACGTCCCTATGTTTGATTTTTTGGTGCAGAACGTCCATACCTTTGCATTTTCTTGTTCAAAACGTCATTTTCACCAATTTTTAACATAAAATGACCATTCTACCCTCCTATATAAATAAAACAAAAAAGAAAAGAAAAGAAAAATAAAAAATAAATTGCAATTTGGTCCTATACTTTTAAAAAAATGTAAATTAGTCCGAAAAACTAATTTAATTTCATCCAATAGCACAAAATCTA